TTTTTTTGTATTTTTATTATATTTTTGTTTTTATTATAGCCTTAATTATAATTATTATTGTGATAATAATTTTACAACTGCAATATATGTATAATGTTACACAAAGCACAAACAATTTATTACAATATTGTTTTTGTTAAAAATAAGAAGTAAGAAAGTATATTACATTTTTTCTAAAAAAAATGTTTATTAAACTTTTTTGTTTTTAATTCCTTTCTTATCAATCATTTATTTTTTATTTTTAACAAAAAAAAAACAATATTTGGAAATTTTTACCTTAGCACACAAAAAGCTCAATATCGTTAAATTTATAAAAAATTAAATTTTTAATATTTCTTATCTGTCTCTTATACACATCTAGATGTGTATAAGAGACAGACATTACGTTACGTTATTTGTTACCTCGTGTTCTATCATTTTGAAATAGAACTCGCATGGAGCAACACTCTAGAGCAGTGTCGACAAACTTACACATTCAAAGGATTAATATNTTTGTTTTTATTATTAATATATAAAATTTTATATAATCGAAAATACAAATTCAATAAATAAGCACTATATTTGTTTTAATATTGCATTAATTTCGATTTTAAAACTTTTTTAAAATTAAATATGTATTTTCTTAAATTTTTGTATAAATTTCTTGTAAGGAATTGTAAAATTAAAGATAATATATTATACACTAATGTATTTTAAATGTTTAATTTCAGTAAAAAATTTTTATCACTATCTATTCTTTATATGCTGTGCAGCCTATATTAGCATTTTTCCATTGCAAGTGTAACTTAGTTTATTTCCAGTTTCCGCTGCCATTTCAATAGTCGTGAAAATGCTTCGTTTGAGAAATTTTTTTGAAAATTGTGTTTTTATCATTAAAATCAGTAGAAATAAAGTGTTTTGTAGCAAGAAGTTAAAATATATTTGTTTTCAGTGAAAATATGTAAATAACCGGTGTAATTCATTGTTTATTGCACAAGCGGTGCGTGCTATGAGTGTGAGTGATCGACGCATGCAAAGAGAAAATTTTGTATTTGTATTTTCATCTGTAAAAGTGTAATAATAATGATAGATCCGTAGTATTTAGTTTAGAAGGTGAGTCGCTTTTAAATATATATAAACTTAAAGAAAAACATTGAATAAATAAAGCACTGCTTGCAAACAAGTGCTAGCGGCAGTGCTGCCTTGCTGTCATATACAGTTGATTTTCAAACTGTTATTCCTGTGCCTACTAAACATTTTGAAACTCAAGGAATGTTTAATTGATTGCATGCGCCATTTTGAAATGCCCTTGAGTTTTGAGCTTCTGAAATGAAATTTTGTGGTAGAGTAATTATGCTAACAGCAATTTGAACAAATATTTTTGGGAAAATTCAAACACAAAATTACAAATACAAAAAACAATAATTTTTATAAAAAAAAAATTTGTTCTTAAACGATTTGACGCCGTTTATGTAGTAAAGTGTTGACAAACTCAAAAGAAGCAAATCGACAGCTGACAGTTTAGGGTTAGTTAAAATGGAGTGTTACAAAATAGAACAAGGTTTCTTCAGTATTGAACAATATTTCAGAAATAATGAAAGCTTGGCAGCCGCAGTTCAAAAATTTTATACAAATTATGCTCCGAATAGTGTTTTAACTTCGTCAACTATGAATATTTATTGAAATGGTGGAAAATGTAAATCTAGCGTTAATTTTGGCACAATGTCAAGAATTAACTTTTCAAATAAGCATTATTTTTATTTTCTAATCCCTAACATGCACTTAAATCAAAATTAAGCCCACATAACTGATTAAAAATAATTTAAAATCAAAAACCAGGAAAAAATTTTATTTTTAATAAAAAAAAATAATTTTTTTTAAGTATATAAGTATATAATTAAGAAAAAAAATATTTTAGAATTAATGTTTTTTTTTCAAAAAATAATATTTCCAACTTTTAATTGAAACACCTTGAAAAAAAAAAATTTAAAAAAATGTATTTTGTTAGTTCGCTCTTCGTCTTTATTGACATAGAAATCTAGCCAGGTTCTTTTCCAGCTTTGGTCTTTGTTCGTCGAAAGAGGTACTCTACTTTTCAATTGTCTACTCAGTCCAAATTTTTCGCCGCCGTATTTGAATAGCTCGGCGGGAAAAGTATCGGCTCTGTCGCTTTGTTGTTCTGCATATGGGTAATTGCTTTTTGAACTCCTTTATGGTGGGGTAATGGAACGTCTGCTTCGGCGTCCTCGATTGGGGAATCGGGTTCACCATCTCCAGGTGTTACGTTTTCATTTCCATTCAGCAGTATGGAGAAGTATTTTCTTCATAATTTCAGTATGCTCTGTTCATCAGTCACTAGAAGCTCCGCTCTTGAAACCTTCTGTCGTCGCATTTTTCCGTAGAATTTGCGGGCGTTAATAATACAAATATAATTAACCATAAAGTCAATAAAAGTGGCATATTTTTCGTACAAATTTCGAGCATTAATAATAAAAAATTAGCAAAATCGGCAAAATCAATATATTTTATTCAAAATAGTCTCCTTCTGTCTTCAATATTGTGTTTTAGCCCGTTGGCCGGTATGGCCTCCGGTTTGCCGATGCAAGCCTTTTGAATGGCCTCTCATAAAGCTTTCCTCTCATGGGCAAATGCATTTTTCCGAAAAGGAAGAAGTCGCACGGTGCCATATCAAGTGAATACGAGGGATTAAAGGAAGTTTTTGTTGTTGTCCTTTTTGACCTCTTTAATGATGTCCTTAGAATGTTGGAATCTGAACAATTTTTGGTCGTCAGTCAATTTGTGTGGAACAAACCATGCACACGCCTTTAGTAAGACCAAATATTCGTTCAAAATACGATATTTTGGAGATGTTCAATTCCATTTCCATGAATTTCAATGATGATTTCGGCTTATTTTTCCGGTGATCACGGATTTTGATTGACCCACATGTTGTCGTCATTTATGTCCTCACGAACACTTTGGAAACGTTGAAACCACTTGTGCACTCTGCTATGAAATAGGCAATCATCGCCATAAACTTGTTTCATCAAATGAAACATTTCGGTAAAAGTTTTACCAATTTTAAAATAAAATTTTATGTTGGCTCTTTGTTCGAAGCTCATTTTCGCACCGATAACACAAACATACTGACACTTAAAAAGCAATAAGTTGCTCCACTTCCAATCAATGAAATGCCATGAAATTCTCACTAGACAATCGATAAAGACAGCAGATTCTAACGCACCAGTCGACATATAGATGACTCCACTGTATATGCTGGATTGGCTCCGTTGAAGCTTCCTCTCTTTTAGATGTAACCCCAGGCTTCACACGGATTGCCTACCATCTATCTTACACGAGGGTTACAAGGGCTACTAACGTTTCCAGCGCTACCGCTGTAAATACTTACCCAGAAGCATGACAATACCACATTACGCCCCCAGTTACTAATTTACAAATTTGGGAGCATCTTTGGGAGCATACGCTTTCGCCCTGCGGAAATTCTAAAGAGTTGAGAGAAGATAAACTTGACTATGAGGAATATATACGAATAAATTGTTCTAATTGTGTCCAAAGCTAACAAATAGGACACTCAATTCTGTCTAAAAACATTGATTTATAAGTAAATTATCATTGATGCCACTTTCCTTTTATTTTGCCTTAAGCATGATTCATACAATTAACATACAATGTAAAACAACCGCTAATAACATTGAGCAGAGCGTTGCTTAAGTGCCTTCTGCGCTTGAATATTAATGTTACTCATTAAAATCGTATTATTTTTTAACTTAAGCTTACTGTTCAAATATATACATATATTTAAATAACCTAAAAGAAGTTTTGTTTAGCAAAATGCTTTGCATTGTAAATTTCTTGTTCATAACGCCGCTTGCTTCTCATTGCGCAATCCTGTTTTGATACTGTTCTGGTTACCGCTTAGTTCATCATATATACATACATATGATATATATATATACATATATATTTTAATAAGCGTTAATTTCGTTAAAACAAAAATACAGTTTTAAGAAATAACATCTATTTGTTTCACAGACTTTGTCATCGACTTCATCAGGTATTCAAGAAACTCACTGGATTTTCCAGAAAAACTCAAGTACACATATTTTTTGATCGTTGAAATATTTAAACTTTATTTTTATGTTCTACACCAGCGATTAAATATTTGCTAATTTGAATTTAATAGATTACAGTTAGCTTATAAATATTTACATATAATTAACTGTAGAAGACTATTCAAACTTTAATCACACGGGCCTAGTACTCATAGGCAAATATGCTCGCTTTATGATACATACTACATAACCACTGACCTATCACCAGCCTTTCCACTCTAAATCACAACTCATTGCCAAGTCAAAATATTTGGGTATACATATATATTTTTTAATTTTTACCTCGCTTATCGGGCATTTTCTACGCCAAAGTCAAAGTCAACATCTTGAAAACATAAAAACCACATTAATATTGTCAAAAGTAGTGGTACTTATTTTCTTACCCCTACATATGTATGTATATACCTATTTGAAATAGCAGTATGAATGAGTTTATAGCCGTTGCCGGCAAAGAATAACCAAAATATTTGAATAACACTAACGCTAGGCGACGTTGGGCAAATAAGAATTCGTACAACCGTTCGTCGGCTTTTTTTCACGGCGAAAAAGCGGCTGAGCCAACAAAGCCGCACCATGCGCGCCGAGAAGGTCTTAGGCGAAACGCCGATAAGCTTTCGAGTTGTTGTAGCCGAAAAAAGAAAGCTACTCGGCATAACGACTACCGTTTGAGTTAAACGTAACTTACCGCTTATTCGTTTATGCGAATTTATGATACATAAATTTATGGCCGATAAGAGTCGTGACAGCGTAATTCTTAAACCAAAGTGAGTGTGGCTCGGGAGTGGTAGCAACGAGTGGAAAAAATTCCGACAAACTGTCGGCTCATACACTCGTAGAGTATATAAACTAAAGCTCTACAGTAGAAAGAGCACAGTTCGAAGACATTGTTCTAAAGCGTAACATAAAGTTTAACCACAGCAATCAAAATCCTAAACGACCTCGAAAGATTTTAACCAAACTACATTTAATTATTGAGTACCTCACGTTTCCTCACCAAACTCAACGACTTCTTTCGACACAATGGCAAAGCACCCTAAAGCTTTACTTGTCGCGCTTGCGCTTTTTTGTCATCTAATGCTGCAGCTCCAAGCTTCTCCGTTGATTGGCAGCAGCGTCTACTATGACGATGATGACGATGACACGGAGGTGTTGGAGATCGATTTGAATAGCATTGATGATCTCGTAAATGGTGGCAGTGAAGACTCGATTGACTTGAGCTTTTATGGCAATGCGCTTTACGGCATGCCCGATAATGAAGTAACAGCCCAGTTGGTGGCTAATTATACAGCCGAAGAGTCGTCGGTTAATCCAGAGGAGTTGGGTTCTTACCTGGAGGGCGATATCCTAGTGCCACTTGGAAGAGTGACTACCAGAAATGGCATTATTACGCTAAGTTCACGTTGGCCTAACGGCGTGGTGCCGTTCGAAATACGCGGTAACTTCAATGCACGCGACATGTCTACCATTGAGCATGCGATGGATGAGTATCATCGTCGTACGTGTATACGTTTTGTGCCACGTAGCCGCGAGAGTGATTACATTTCGATTGTGAGTGGCAATTCGGGTTGCTGGTCATCGGTAGGACGTGTGGGCGGCAAACAAGAGGTGAATTTGCAATCGCCTGGTTGTCTCACCAAACCCGGCACCGCAATGCACGAACTGATGCATGCACTGGGTTTCCTGCACGAACAGAATCGGCAGGAGCGTGACTCATATGTGGATATAATGATAGAGAATGTGCAACCAAATGCAGTGCCGAATTTCGAAAAGGCTCAACAAACCGTTGCTTATGGTGTACCTTACGATTATGGCAGTGTGATGCATTATTCGGCGAACGCTTTCTCGCGTAACGGTCGTCCGACAATCGTGGCTGTGGTGAGTATATGGTGAATAAGTGCTTGAGAGGTAGACGTTTTCAAGTATGAAGTGGTGTCGGAGAAAGGAATTCACATCAGTGATAGTTTTTTTGTTTTTTAAGGGTGATGAAAGTTTATTATTATTCGAAAGAATATGTTTTGGGATTTATTTTTTGAAGATTGTTTATGTCAAATGTTGGCCGACGCTGCGTCTATCCGTTGAGTCCAATTTGCGATGACTTGCTCGATGTTTTTCTCTAAGACCTGAATCGAAGCGGAATAGATGTTAGACTTTACATATATCCACATGAAAAATTGTAACAGTGTGATATCTTAGTGGGCAAACAACCGGCTCAAACCGTGAAATTTTCTGCTCACCGAAGTGTTCTCTTAATAAAGCCATTGAAACCAAATATCGCCGAGATCACGAACCTCAATTTCAGGCATCAAATTGTCGGTCATCCTGGCAATCTAAGCTGATTCGAAAACAAAAACAAGCTGGGGTCTTTATAATTCCATGCCGCGGGGGGTTTACACATATTTTCGACTCATTCTGCAAAAACAAAAAAAAAAAAAAAAAAAAGATAAATATCTACTTAACACCATTTTATTAACAGTGACATACGGAGATATCATATCTCATGACTGATCACACCTACCGTAGATCAGTCAGAAATGTAAATATAAACAGCGAGAGGCGTCAGAGCACCTTTGGCACTTGAACAAGGTTATTTTTTGTTTATTATACGATTAGTTGAAAATTCCCAGCGTGTGAAGGTTCCCCACAACTTGGTTCAATAAACCGGTGTCGAGTAACTGTATCAAGAAAGTGCGCGCACGACATGCGTGGCATCTGTTTTCGACGGCCTTGATACAAGTTTACAAAGAGGCATGGCATCTTACAGCATTGCTGATGAAGTATTTCCGCGCTGGCATAACTGTTGTTGACATATCTGTTATACATTTTATGTTTTGATCTACATTTTGTACATTGGTACATTTATTTACTTACGTATTTTCCTCCCCCAAGCAACCGGGCGGCAGTCAACGTATGGGTCAACGTGAAGGATTCTCAGCATACGATATTGAAAAGTTGAACAAAATGTACAATTGCAATGGACCAGCTATTGGCGGTGGATTTGGTGCTGGTGGAAATAGTATGGGCGCCATTGCGCCAGCTCCAGCACCAGTTGCAGTGCCGGCACCAGTGCCCCAACCCGCGCTGCCAGCTCCCGGCCCAGGTCCAGCAGGAAATGCAAATTTGATTGGCAGTTTTCTAGGTGGCCTTATTAGCGGTTTGGGACTAGGCGAAGAGGTCAACAATACTGATGTGACAACGGAGACAACAAATGATATTTAAAGGGAAACATTTCAGCACAACAAATAAATTACAGGCGACAACGGAAGCACCCCAAAGAATGTATAAGTTCCTTACAAGTAGCTCAATGATCATTACTCTACTCTAGTATCCGTATAAAAACTCGAATTCCAAACTCAGTATTATAATTTGTTTAAGAGATTAAGAATAAAGCAAGAAATCATATTATGAAATATTATGAAATCCGTCGCGTTTGCATCAGAGATACTTGAGAATCTCAACACCTCTTAGTGATCTTCCTCTTTTTTTATTGGCGTAGACACTCCTCGAGCGGTTATAACCGAGTTTTCAACAGCGCGTTAGTCGCTCTTCCTTGGAAATTGGAAATTCCAAGCGTAAACAAGTCTTTCCCCATCTGTCCTTTCTAGCGGATTGGAAGTCTTCGTATTCCCCTGTTTCCTTCGGCGGGTACTACGACGAATACTCGCAGTGCTGCAGTATTTTTATACATTTGGACCACAGGACCTAAACAGTACAGCTAGTGCCTCTTAATTCGCTGAACTTTGGCAATGTCGTCATATATCTCATATAGCTCATCGCTGCATTGACTGCGGTATTCCCCGTTGCAAATGCGCAAAGAGCCATAAATCTTCCACAGAACCTTTGTCTCGTTTTGTTACTTGTAGAGTTCGGTCTTTGTTCGTCGAGAGAAGATGAAGTTCTGCGTAGAAGATCACTGAGTAAAGTTCTCTGGGTGCCATTCACTTGGGAGTTGGCAGAAACGACATTCTTTTATATATGGTTCAAGCAGCTCACGACTTCCGGTCTTAGAGCAAGTATCCCCTGGGTAGCCAAAAAAGATCCGTTTGAAAGCGAGCTAAAGTGTGAAGGCGAAACATACCTCCCCTGGGTTGTGCGTTAGCTTTGGGACCCGCCACGTAAAAAACATCCTCAATGAAAAGAAAAGGGAACCCAATTTACAATATGTTAAAAACAAAAATGAAAGCACCAATTTTCAAATACGAATTTTCGAATTTTTAATCATTTTTCATTTGATTTATATTTTTAATTTTATAATTTTTTTCTTTGAATTAATTTTTACCTTATAGAATTTTTATTTTATGATTTTGTTTATGTTTTGCTTTTGACTACTTATAATAATGTGTTTTTGTTTGAAATTTCAAATTAAAGTTATATCATTTTCCATATTTCGTTTTGCGGTCAGCATACGCGCTCGTGGAAAACGGCATGAGCTAATGCTATGCAAACGATATTGCATTTCAGGTTGCGTAATCTTATCATAAAGTTTGTGCTTAGCATTTTCTATCGACGAAATACCGACACTCTCCGTCTCATCGATGTTCAACGCATCCACTTCGGCGCACTCGGGACACTGTTGTGTTATGACAATGTCATTTAAGTTGGTTGCAAAATCACAGAATTTTTCTATATTCTTGATGAGATAGTCATTGGAGCGCTTCTTGGTATTTTTACGCTCCAACCTATAGACAGTGGCTAGCACACCAAAAATACGCTTCTCTACAAGCTTCAGATGATCGTGTAAATTTGTTAAATTGATCTCTCTATAGTCACCGATTTCTTTTGCTAGCGATTGCCAATTGGTTTTCGAGTGATCGCGCACCAGCTTCAAACCCAAAAATAGTTTATTCAAACGTTCGTCATTCACCATGGAAGATTTACGTAACTCTTCGTTGTTCTTATGTTTTGCTAGTAATTGCGCCTCCAACTTTTCAATTTGATCCACCTGATTTTGCATAGAATTGCGATTGTCCAGCTTAAGCATGTCGATATCGGCAAAAAGTCGATTGACGGCATTATTCAACAGCGTCATATGATAACTCGTCTCATTGGCGTAATTAAAGTATGAGTAGTAGAGGCTTTCTTGTTCTTTGAATTTGGTGATAACAGTTTTGATATCTTTCTGTCCGGTATATTGAAAGATTTTATGTAATACATTCTTGTTGACAATTAATTTCTTTTTCATATGTTCGCGCATATTACTACGTCTACGATACTCCTTTGGCTGCAAGTCAGCCAAACGTCGATGCAAAATTTTCGACTTGTAAAACTCCGTATCATTTACTGACTTCGTCTTATTACGACTGATGTCACGCATTTCCATACGCCGTTGCTCTAAGTCTCTACGTTGTCGCTTCTTGAAAATATCAAATCTCTCATAGAGATCAATGCTCGAGTCGAACTGATGCATAGCGTAGCCAATCAAATCGGTCATGTATTTCTTGTCACTATTGAGTTCGCGTATTAGTTTGAAATAATGATCGTTGAAAGCTTTCCGCTCCAAAATCAGTTCGTGCAATTCTTCGCGTAACTTCATATTCAGTGCTGTCATTTTGCACTCCTGATGTATGCCCACCTCCAATTGGTTCTCCTTCATTGCCAAGTGCTTGCGTGCCTTGTTTTTATTCTCTATTGCTCGCGTTGCGGGTATCGTGTGCCGATTTAAATCGTATATGTGTCGTGATAGGCGTCCCAACTCACGCTGTATATTCACAATGCTGGTTTTCATATTGTGTATATCCTCAGCTAACTTCTCTTCACATGTGATGTGACACTTAATGGTTTTCAAATAACCCGCACTCTTTCTTTTGTATTGTGTACCGATTGCTGTCCATACCTTCACCTTGATGTCGGCCTTTTCTTTACGCAATTTGGCGGTGCCTTTCTTTAAATTATCCTCCATGATTTGATTGCGTCGAAAGTTTTGCAGCCGTGCTGCTAGTGCTCGTCGGTAGTCGCTTTGCCGCTTCGCGACTTCCTGCAGCTTGAGCATGTGATCCTTCAAAAAGGACGATTTCACATCGAGCGTCGTCATTGCAATGATTAAATTAAATTTATTATGGCCCAGATACTAAATGAATTTGCGCAAAATATTAGTTAATAGACGATATAAAAAAATATAAAAAAATTGTTCTGGAAAATTTTCCCAACCAATTCAAATTTTCTAAAAAAAAATTCTGAAATTTATTGACAATGCCAAACACTCATAAATGAAAAAAAAGTTGTGAATAGGCAAAAAAACTAAGTCACAATCGCATTTTGTTTTGGGCGTGTAAACTTTGAGATCCCGACGAATATATACATACATACTTTATAAGTAATACAGAATATATAATTAAGTGAAGGATGGAGCTATGTAGAGAAGTTCACGCAAGTGAGGAAAGTTCTCTGAGCGCCAAGTAGCTTACGACTTTCCCTTCTAGACGAAGTATCCTCCGGGTAGCCAAAAAAAAACTACCATTTGAAGGCGTGCTAAAGTGAGAAGACCATTTATGACTTCCCATGGTTGTGCGCTGGGTTTGAGCTCCAATACAACAACAATTTTTTTAAACAAATGTAAAAATTTATAATTTTATGATTTACGATGCTTTCCGACGAGATGTAAGTAGCGCAATTATATTTTACATAAAAATGTTAAAACTACTCCAAATTACTTAGATCTTAAAGATCAACTATTTTTCTAAGCAGCAATTCAAAATAACAACAAAGGCCAATACTAACTAAGTACTAAGAGAATAAGATAGTGGTCAAACGTAAAGTTAACTCAATTTATTCCAAACAAGTAGGCGGATGAAGTTCGTGTTCGGGGGATTATATTCTCGCACTACTGAAAGACCAAAGTCGGGGCATATTTTCGAGTGGTGATAAAAGATTACATTAAAACACGTTACGAAATTTTTTTAAACCGGTTTAATTCAAATCGTCAAAGAATTGTCCGATTGTAACCATTGTCGGCCCAAAGACAGAAGATTATCATAGGAAGGCCTTCTATGAATTAAACTAAGATAATTCGTATATTGGGCACATTTTGATTTCTTTTTAGAGCATGATTTCCGTATTATAATGTGTACTACAATAATCGTTCAGGAGCATAGGCTGAATAATTAAAATTGTTCATTTCCTTTCCGAAGATATCAAAAAAGGTATTCACATTATCTTTTGTGAAATCTTGTGCTCTTGCCAATGAAGTTCTAGTTGGAGAGCGGAACACTCTTTAAAAAAAAGCGCAACCAATTTCTTTTGGAAATTTTATTGCTTGCGACCTTTCCTCATTTCGGTGTTAGAACGCGCCGCTGTGATCGTCTTTTTTATGTCGTCAGGATTCCAATTTTCACGCTTACCAGGATCCATATTCTACATAAATAAGATCTCAATGAACTCAAAGATAATCGAGCGGAGCAAGAATTGTTGTGCAGGTAATATGGACCACTGGTCTGTGGAACAATGCCTAGCTGCATACCATCTCAAAATGCTTGCCTTTCATTGGCTTTTCCAGGTAAGGAAACAAAAAAAGTCCCATGGGATGTAGGGCGGCTGCGGAAGCGTTGGAATGCTGGCCTTGGTTAGGTAGCTGTTTAAAAGAAAGGCGGTGTGAGTCAGGGCGTTGCCGTGGTGCAACTTCCAATCGATTTCGATGTCTTGTCTGACCTGATTGACCCTACGTTTGAGTCTCTTGAGGACTTCCACGTAAAACTTGGCGTCAATGATTTGTTTGGAAGGAACAAATACATGGTGGACGATACCTCTCATATCACAAAAAACAATGAGCATCGTTTTCACTTTGGATTTGTTCATTCATTAGCGACTTCTTCCCGACCCTCCAAAAAGGCCTGGTGCCACAGAAACATACCAACATCTGGGGAAGCCTGCTTAATTTTATCAAGCGTCTCTGTCGCAGATTTACTGAGTGTCACACAGAATTTAATCCCGTACCTATACTGAGCGAATTCTGCATTTTCTGCTTGCACCACTCACAGAAACACGTGAAATGTTTTCACCGACTCCAGTCGGAGCGCGCGCGTTCCGTCGTAGTACAGTCGCGGCGGACGAACATCAGTGCTATTACTTTCCGAACAAACCCTGTACTATTTGAGTGTTATGCGTCGTTTGCGCGAAGCTATTCGTTAAGGGTTTCCTGCCTTAATGTAATTTATGAATATTTAGCAAACAAAAAAAAAAAAAAAAAAAAAAACAGGAAATCTAGAAAAATTCATGGTTTCATCCACTTGTACGTCAGTATTGTGATATGTACGCAGCACCATTGCTTTTTGCTGAAAAGAACTTTCACGAATTTAAGAACATTTCATACATCAGCCAACAAATAAATAAAACTATTTTTTTTTTCTAAATATTAATATTTAGATTTTCTTGTAATAATAAGCAAGAGAGATACTTAATTGCTTGCAATTGAATTCTCCATACTGGAGAAAGGAGCGCCATGAAGTTTTAGGCATTACGTTTTGCGGCAAGAATGCGCGAATGCGGCAAACGACACT